ACTACCACTATACTAGTATACCTCTAGCGGTATACTACTACTACTACTACTACTACTACTACTGCTACTCCTGGTGCTGCTACAACTACTACTACTACTACTACTACTACTACTAACTACTACTAGTACTACTACAGCTACTATACTACTACTTAGTCTACTATATACTACCACCGCCACCACCGCCACCACCACCGCCACGACGCACCACCACCACCACCACCATCACCACTACGCTACTGCTACTACTACTACTACTACTACTACTACTACTTATACTAGTCCGATAGCTACTCCTAATTATAATATAACATAATAATTCGGCCTCAGCTAGCACTACCACTGCATCGACAGGCTGCGGTTGAAGATGCAAAAGAAGCCGAAGCAGAAGAAGCCGCAGCGCCAGATGCAAGCCAGGCTCGCCTGGGATCCGGTACGGGTTAAAGGCTTCGATGTGCTAGCTAATTACCCCCTAGACCCCAGAAAATTATATTTCTATTCAAACAATGTAAAACCTATACTGTCTCCAGGACAACGGCTGGTCAGGGGAAGCTCCAGATGCACGTGATCATGAGGCCTGCTGGGGTTCGTGGTATATTGATTTCCCGAAGTTCTGGTCAGGGCGACGAAGACAATGATGCAAAGACTGCTGCTCCGGAGGTACAGGGTCTGCAGGTATTAATTGATCATGACTTATATATGTTGGGTGGCTTGTGTTCGGCAGTTCTCATCATGATCATGATCAGGGCAACGAAGGCAAAGATGCAGAGACTGGTGCTCCAGAGGGATACAAGGCCCGGGTCGGCATGCATTAGTGAGTTCCATTCTTGACGGTTCCTAAACTTATACCCTCAACCCCAAAACCCTGAACCTTCCACCCTAACCCTGAACCCTCCACCCTAAACCCCTACACTAAAAACCCGAGTATAAGCCCCTTTACAAAAACCCTACACCTAAGAATGATCCTAAACTATAAACGATTCCTGTCAGGGCAACGAATGCCAAGATGCAAAGACTGGTGCTCCAGAGGAATCCCAGGAGGCCCAGGGTCTTTATTATCTTCATTATATATAATATACTGACAGTGCATATAACTTATCGAGAGCTAGGTCGGAACCCTTCTGGAAGGAGACTTTGCAAGGCCAAGGGCGCGAGCAGGGTTTCTCAGAAGCCAGCACGCAGGAGATCAATGAGCTTGCTCAGTTTCCTGAAACGCAATTGGACACCGATGGTCATCATGATCAGTGGAGTTGGGCCTACGATCGCAACTGGTCGGCTTGGGACGATTGCGATCAGAACTGGTCGGCTTGGAACGGTCGCGTTCAGTGGAGCTGGGATGCTGCTTGGGGTCAGGGCAAGGAAGCTTCGTGGTGGGGGTCTGGATGGTGGGATTCGCAAGGTAAGCAGAGCCCTGCGACCCCAAAGCCTGGTCCTAGCCCTACGTCACCGAGCATAAACACGATCACGCGAAGTGAATATGACAGGGCCCTGCAAAGCAACACCAGGACTTCGGATCTGTCGCGAGCCCCAACCATGAACTCAGAGCCTCCTGCAACGCCAACCCAGGCCTCTGAAAGAGAGTCTGCAACACCCCATGGCGACTCTGCTCAGAAGCTGAGCCCCGCTGTGGTTCCAGCCAGCCAGCCATCCCCAACCAGTTCAATGGAAAGCCCCGCAAAGAAGCCAAAGCTTGCCGAGCAATGCCCGAACCCACCGACAGCTGCAAACACTAGTGGTGCCCAGGCTGAATGGGCCCTCCTGCAGAATGTACTCCAACGTGGACACACCGTGGACCGCTTAACGGACGAGGAGCTCGTGGCTGTAGCTTCGCACATCAGTCAGTTGCAGAAAGGCCGCTCGCGGCAGCAGCTCCAGGGGCCAGCAGCAGAAGTGCCTCAGCAGGCGCAGGGAACTGGAGCACCACAGAAGGAAAGCAAGCCACAGGAAAACACTGGAAATCCAGAGAAGGAAAGCAAGCCAGAGGAAAACGCTGGAAATCCACAGAATGAAAGCAAGCCAGAGGAAAACACAGGAAATCCACAGAAGGAAAGCAAGTCGCAGCAGGATGGCAAGGCGCAGGACAACCTGACACCAGAGGAGCAGGCAAAGATAGCAAGAAAGAAAAAGCTGCACGCACGTTACATGCGATTCAGTCGTTCACTTTCAAGCCCCTTTGCCAAACAAAGTGTTGCAGCCTGTTTGAATATTTTGTAAACATACATAGATCTAACTACAGCAGGTTTTACCTTATATGTGTTATTTGTTCTAGGCAAGACAGGGAGCTCCTGAGAGATACAGGGAATTCAGAGAGAGAGAGAGAGAGAGAGCCCAGGTCTTCGCACGCCGAAAGAGGTGCGAAAGCTTGCCGATCGTGAGTTGGACTCTGACCAACGAAACTTCCTGTTTGAGCACTGGCTCCAGGCCAACGAGGACTGGAAGTCTTCGAAACTGCTTGTTACTTTGAAAAGCAAGTCAGGTTCGCAGAAGAAAGGACTCAGGCGTTGGCTCACGAAAGCCGACCTTCTGCTCAAGTACAAGGACGAGGAGGTGGTGCAATCCATTATCGATGCCAAGCTGAATGACAAGGACTTGTGTGCGAAGCAAGTGAGATCGCATCCCGATTGCCCGCAGCGGGACGATATGAAGCAATTCCTCTGTGTGGTAGATGATACCGAAGAAGACTATACCGGGGAAGAGGTGGAGCACACTTTCGAGATGGAGCCGGACTCCGATTCGGGCAGCAGCAGCGATGAGGACGACGATGATGATGATCAGGAAGGGGAGGACGAGGAGCAGGAAAGCAAGCCGCGCAAAAAAGCAAAGCCCCAGACTGCGAACAAGAAGAAGAAGAAGTGCAAGAAGAAAGGCAAGCGATCCCCGAAGAAGAGCAAAGCCAAAGCGAAAGCAAAAGCAAAGGGAAAAGCGAAAGCCAAGGCTAACAGCAGATCCCGATAGAGATGATTTAGGTAACACCCCATGTTAAATCCCATATTAGCCCTAAGCCCCATTGCCAGGCCAAAAGTGCAGCCAGTGATCCTGCGACGGAAGAGCAGCTACAGGTGCAGAAGGAGGCGGCAAGCAAGGCCAAGAAGGTGGGAGAACGTCCTGATATTGGGTATAAGTAGTTGTCTCTTCAAGAACATGTACAGTGCTCTGTTCTAGGCAACGGACAAAGCGACGGAGAAGCTCCAAGCTTCAAAGAAGTGCGATGACGTAGTAACATCAGAGAACGTGTGCTTGACTCAGATGCATGCTTATGCAAAATTGAATCACATGACATGTCTGTTTGACCCAGGGGTGACAAGATGCTCAAAGCCATGAAGGAGGACATCGCATCCCAGGTCCGAGCTCTACGTATACCCCGAACATAACGACCAAGTTAATTAATAATTAGTTCTTATCATAATATATAGTCTCCAAATCCAACAAACCGTGTACCTATGAGCAAGGCTGCCGCCATCCAGAAAGCAAGAGCCGAGCTGCAGCGCATGGTCGATGCGTCAGAGGCCAGTTTTCCTTGGGATGGATGTTGAGATCGTGTTTGTGGCAAAGCCCGACAGCTAGTGCTGCAGTGTTCCCCCCTTTATATTAAAATTCGGGTGTCCCTTCGGAAGGACCCTCAACAATTCCAGCTATGTTCAGTGCAATCATGATCATGGCCCCCCTCTGCTACGCCCTAAGCCCTATAAGCCCTATATATTAGTATATGTGTATATATATATATATATATCCCCAAGCCCCAACCCCTAAACCCCAACCCCTAAACCCCAACCCCTATATAACCTCCTGAAACCGAGAAATGTACCAACCTTCCGATAACACACCCTCCTGCACAGGTGGCACTTATGCCAGACGCTACGCAGCAGCTGATCCAGACGTGTGACAAATTCGACAAGATCAACAAGGAGTTCTGGAACAAAGTGAATGGTGGCAAACCGACGAAGTCGAAGTGATGTTGAAACTTGTATTCATGTCGGCCCTAGACTGCATACGATGTAGCTCTTATTATAATACTGGCCTAGCTGTGATCATGATGGTTCACTTAATATTTGCTGCCAGCTTTCTTCATTTCGAGCGCCAGGGCTAACCTTGGCCACTTTTGACCTGTGACTGTGGTAGCAACCACATGCACTGATGCTACAATCTCCTCGCACTGATCTACAATCTCCTAAACATGTTAGCACACATCTGGACCTAGTACTGCGAAACAAATCTGTAAAACCCGAGCTCTACCATGATCTAGGTACAGCCCAGCCAGGACTGATGCCGGATCGGAGACCACTGCATTTCTGAACAGTTGTCCACACCTACCTAGCCTAGGCTCTTGTAAATTACAATATTAATATGTGCTTAGAAGTACCAGGTGCGTGTGGCAGCCACTGTGGCCACCCGGATGTAGCAGCGCCGGCAGCGGTGTAATGCACTGCGTACACTGAGCACCTCATCAGGTGGCTAGCTTCAGCAAAGCTGCAATGACTTTATACTTATGTTGAGGTGCCGTGGGATGTATGCAGTGCATTCTAGATTCCATGCTGCCATAGGCTGAGTCTGGGACCCAATCCTCAGGGAGTCTTGCTAGAAGCTTCGCTCAGGGGAAACAATGCTGCATTGCAACTGGAAGCCCTGGAAGCCCTGGACCATGGACCCGCCTGAAACCCCAACCCGGCCACCACTGAAACCAAGCAAAGCCTCTATACCCAGTCGTCTGTAGATTTGCGAAGCAGTGCATGCCAGGTGATGACGAGAATACGGATGGCCTCCTACAACATCTGTGTGACAAGATATCCAGAGGGGAGCCGTGGCTTCCACATTTATAATAATAATTTGGCAGTCAAGGCACAATCCGAGAGTCCGATGCCATGCCAGTCGCAAAATGTCCTCAGCTAAGGCTTCAAGTGTTGATGCAGCTATGAAAGATGCCCAAGCTGGCTTCAAGGTCATTGTAATCAATTCCCAAGCTGGCTTCAAGGTCATTGTAATCATAATACCTAGTCGTTGGCTAATAGGCTTGCATCGTCTGCTGTGCAGGAAACCGGCAAGTTCTTCAAGGGCCAGACTATCCGATCATTGATGAAGTTCAAGCCCGGCAATGCAGCTCGTGATTTCTTCAAGACGGTCAAGCTTCCTCTAGTGCCCCAGCAAGGTATAGTATTAATTGCTTCGTTTCGAATCTTCCGAAAGCTGCATCTGCAGTCCCTATTTAAAATTATACGAAAGCTGCAACCCACAATCCCCTTGAAAAGCTCTATCTAGATTAGGAGCCTACGCCAGTCAAAGTTCCTGTCTGGGAGTTTGTGGGTGGTGCATGGAAGCATACCTTCACTACAGTACCGGTACTGGATATACACGAAATTTTGAGCTACGTGCATTGTGAGCTGGGGGTGCAAACGCCGCCGGAGAAGGTGAAAGAATACTGGGCCCACCTCTGCAACCACAACGTCCCCTTTGGTGTTCGTCATCCTTCTACAGTACTATATGATGAAACCGACCCACGCAGACACTCGCACATACCATTCTCACTGTACGGAGACGAATGTCAGTTGTCGGCAGATGGTCGGGAGAAGGTGACAGCCATCTTTGTGTCATTGACTCTTTTCCGACCTACGGAGGTCAGGCTTGGGCAATTCATGGTTTTTTGTATGAAGGATGAGTTTATGGTACATGAACACCTTGCCACCTTGACTCCTGTCCTCCAGCACATTGCTTGGAGCTCGAACATAGCTTTTGGTGGCAAGTTTCCATCGTGCGGACCAAGGGGCGAACAATTGCCTGCTTCGAAGCTGGCCCGAGCAGGGGATTTCCTGGCCCATGGACGGGCATTTGCTGCTTGTGAGCTGAAGGGGGATTGGAAGTGGCATGAGCGAACACTGCGTCTTCAGAACACTCCGACAAGCAAAAAATGTTGCCTGTTCTGTGGTGCTGAAGCCAACGATGCGTCCCCACTTCGCTACTACGAGACTGGAGATTCTGCTGCCTGGGTTCCCACGATTGCTACAACGATAAATTTTTTGCTTCACAAAGTGAAGCCAGGACACTTGAGTGACTTTGGCTGCAGGGTGTGCATGTGTAGGCCTGTTTGTAGGGATATCAAAACCTGTGACCAATACCGCCCATGTGTAGGCCTGTTTGTAGGGATATCAAAACCTGTGACCAATACCGCCTCAGCGTTTTTTCTAGTTACAACCTGGATGGGGAGGCCCTCTGACACTACTCCATGGGTTCGATGTATCCATGGTGAAGTTCTGTAGCATGCATGTGAACAACCTGGGCCTCACCCTCACAGCAAATGGTGGGGCCTTCAAAGTCCTATTGGATGCTGGAGTCTGGGGTGCTACTACTTTGACCGAGGAGGAACGGCTTGACAAAGCCTTCCAAGAATTCAAGATGTGGAGGTCTGCAAAGAAGGTCCCTGGCAGCCAGAAGCGGTTCCGGCCGAATCAACTGAAGAAACACGTGCATGGGTACTACTTTACTGCAAAAGCTTACAATAGCAGAATCCTGCTTCAATGGCTCTCTGAGAAATGCATTGAAGCTGCTCCTGCACACCCTCAGTCGGACCTGGGGATCCATGCTGTTGCCTTGCAGCCTAGCTTATATATGGTCAATCTTACAGTTCTTATTTTTCCGTTGTTTCAATACACAATAAATTCTAAATTTATGCCCTGGTCCCTATATAATATAGTTAGGTCAAAGCCCTGTGTGCCCATTCCTACATGACTCAGGTCCTCGTATGCCGAATGGTATGCTCGAGTCGAAGCAGCGCCACGTTTCTTGCAGCCCGGCATGGCGGATAATTCTAGAAGGGTCGTGACTAGGTCTGGGTTATCGTGCTTCTATAGGACTTCGAATTCTAAGGACCGAATCGGATGCTGAGCAAATTTATAAAGCTGGTGATTTGTTCTTGCGATGCCACGTATTGCTGACGCAGCGCGCGCAGAGGTGCATCAAACCCATCATAGTTTTCTAGATACCCTTATAAATATATATTGATGTACCTTCTGGGCTTTGGGGTTTAAGTCAGGGTTGTGTCTAGCGCCCTTAAATCCGAAACCCCCAAACCCTACACCCCTCATATGGTCAGGTCCGGAATTCTGTCATGGGTGATGAGGCCAAAATTCCATGTGCCTGCTTCGCAAAATAGCAATCGTGTGAAATTCGAATCCATCATGGTTCGATAGGAACATCATGCCACCTGAGGCAATGGCACATTTGCTCCGAGACATTCGGTTTTGGCGACACTGGGCTTCAGACTACATGTACAAGATTGTATATATAGGTTTTCGCCGATCGAGTGGAATGCAAGTGTGTGATCAGGGCTGAATGTGAGATATTACCACAATTTCGCGGGTGAAGACTCAATGGGTTGGGTCAAGCGCCAGGGGCCTAGAAGCTGCAGTTGCCTAGTCGATTCCGTAAAACATATAACTGCTGCTCCGTGTAATAAACCCCAGGTACGGCTCTGAAGGCGCCTCGTGGTCATATTAACCTATCGCGGTGGATGGTCAAGATGGCGCAGCTGAAGCTCTTGGCAAGCAAGAAAAAGCTGACCCCGACCCTTGCCATTGAAGTTCATTCGCTGCTCGACTAAACATGTGGCAACCAGTGGGGAGTTGCCAACTACTTAGGAACAAAATCGCTGTTGGCTTGAAGCGATGATCTTGATCAATGGCTGCTCGGCTGTCATCCCAGGATCTAGCATAGAGTGGACGGCAGCAGTTTCTGAAAATCGTGGTTCTGATAATTTCGCCTGAGGAAAGTTGTGCTGGGGGCCACAAGCGAGAGGTCTTTGCTTGCAAGACGCAAAAAAAGGGATCTGGCATGCTTTTCCGATTCAGGTTTGGGGTTATGAAGGAGGAGTTCGAATCAAATCATGGGGTCCTGCGATTGAAATGTGTCTAGGATTCATTTCGAAATCCTCAATCTAGAAGCTGCACTGGCTTCAAATTCAACGATTTGACAGTGCACTACTGCAGGAGCACACAAGGCTTCAAACCAGCCCTCGTCATGCAAATAAGAGGCCTGGCTGGTCGATGGGATGACCCACGCATCATGCGTTGTTGGGGTTGAATTTCATCAGAATCATTCGTTCAAACAAGCTTTCTCACTCTAATCTTGTCGGCACGAACTCGATTTTTATCTTGGTCTTGCCAAGACCACTATGACGCAACCGCCCCGTGAAATAGGGAGGTTAGCTAACCGCCTCAGTTAACCCGGGGGTTGGAGCTTTAGGGTTTGGGTGTGTATATATATATATATACATATTCATTTATTTATTATTAATTTGTTTGACTAGTATATGTAAGTATGTATATGCCGTCGACTCCGTTTCCTTCGTTAGGGTACGGTGAAGTTCTGCATGTGCCAAGCAAGCCGTCGCCCTAAGGATCCATGTGCCGATCCATGTGCCCATATAGTTAGGGTTTAGGGTTTAGGGTTTAGGGTTTAGGGTTTAGGGTTTAGAGCCTTAAAGTAGTCCCTCTACAGGTACTCTGGGGCCAAAGTATATACTACTTGGGCACATGGACCCTTAGGGTTAGACGCAGACGGTAAAGCCGAAGTCCCGAAACCTGAAGTATGGACCTACAGTTCTTGACGTCACATGAAGCTTCGTGATTCGCACGGTAAGCAGTTGTCGAATCAAGGTAAGCGCATTTAGCGTACTTGTTACCGCAATGTCGACCTACTGCCTACCAGTGCGTTCAAGAACCGAATTACATCTCACTTTCTTAGGGCCTCAGAGCTTACAACTTATATAGGGTGATTCCTTACTATGTTTGTAGGGTTGAGAGCTACTTACAGAACCTTTACAGTGGGATATGGAACCTTGTACAATACCTTTTGCCGAATCCTTGTGGAACCCTTCTAAAATTGGCAGGGACCGGTATGGAACCCTTGCAGACTCGTTATAGATCCATTAGCGCATTGTACCTGGAATTGCCCTGAAGCCTAAACCCTAAAAAAAAAAACTCTGAAAACTAAACTCTAAACCCTAAACCCTAAACCCTAAACCTGGCCGAGCAGCTCCCTCGCAAGGGGCCAGGAGCGCGTTCGCGCCAACGGCCGCTGCGCCTGTGAAGGCCGGGATCAGGCTGTCCTTCAAAATAGGGTTTAGGGTTTAGGGCTTAGGGTTTAGGGCTTAGGGTTTAGGGCTTAGGGTTTAGGGTTTAGGGGTTCCTTGAAAGGTTCGTTCAAGGGCTCCTAAGAATTACCCTATAGGTTGGGGTCCGGATTTATAGGCTTTAAAGATCTTCGATTAGATAAGGGTTTATAGGGTTGTTTAGGGATTTCAGGCATCAAACCTAGGCCCAGGGATTTTAGGTTTGGGGGTTATAGGCTCCACTGGTGGATAAGAGTTTTCTCTAGGGCTTATAGGGACTTCAGGGTTCTAGGGTTGAGGGTTTGGGGTTGAGGGTTTTATTGTTTAGGGGTTTGGGGTTTAGGGTTCAGATTGTGCGGGGTTAGGCTTGTAACGGTTCATGGTTACATGTTCATGGCTTTGGAGCTCAGTTTGCGAGATGTTGCATGCAGGGAGTCCGGAAGAATCGTTAACGTCTCAACTTGGAATAGTCTTTGTTCTTGGGTGCATGTCTTCGGGTTCCAAGGTTTATTGATGTTCAGGTCTAGGGAGTGTAACTGAAGCCGGGGTTGCACAGCTGTCACGTGTCGCAGGTTGGTGTCAGCGACAAAACCTGCAGCAATGGGGAGACAGGCGACGCGAAGCTGTGACGTGACAGGATGGCGTAAACCCTAAACCCTAAACCCTAAGTTTCTCACAGCGGAAGGCTTAAGGTGTCGGGTTTCTGACGGTTTGGGGGCCGTGGCTTTGCGTTCAAGATGTCCGCAAAAGGATTTGAGTAAGTGTCCTATATATATATGATAATAAACTCAAACAAATAAATAAATAAATAAATATATATATATATATATGGATGTCAGATGAGTCCTCAATCCAAATGATTCAGTGGCTTCGCTAGAGCCACTAGAGTAAGGCCCAGCTGCGTGCAGGAGAAGACGTCGTTACAATGCAACCATACATGAAGGCTCTTGGCACCTAGCAGGCAACACAGGTAAGCAGGCACCGAGAGGGGTCCCTAAACCCTAAACCCTCAGACCCTATAAACCCTAAAACCTTAAACCGTGGAAACGTGCGCTCACCCTCTTTCAGTTTGCTTCATGTTTAGGGCCAAGTTGGAAGACCCGTGATCCTGCAAGCCAAATGGAAGCCACGTAATTGGGCTTACCCTAAGTCTCCATAAGTTTTAGGTTTTAGGGGTTTAGGGATTTAGGGATTTAGGATTTAGGGTTTGGGGTGTAGGGTTTAGGGACATTGTATCCTTATAGAGTATTTGCTTGGACCTTGAATTCTTTACGGTGACTCCTTTATGGGGACCCCGCTTGAGGCCTAAGTATATGCTATGCATGCGCATAGAGACTTGGGGTTCAAGACCCTAAACCCTAAACCCTAAAACTTTTCTGGAAAGAGTAACTCCAAGGCAGCGCGGAGATAGGAGGACTCCCCATGCACTTGGATCTTACAAACCCGGGCCTTGAAAAGGCTTAGTTTCCCAATACCCGACCGTTGAAATTGTAATTTTTGGGGGTTCTTATAATTTAGTCGTAATCTGAACGTATAACCTTTTACTTCCCTGGCTTCCTGGGGAAGTAAGTAGAAGTAGAGTAGGTAACCCTTGGCGTTTTTGGGGTAGTATAATCCCTATACTTATCTCCAACACCACAGGTTAGCCTTCAGTTCCCGATGATACTGGACAACCAGGAAAGGGTTTAGGGTTTAGGGTTTAGGAGCTTCAGTACTTATTGTGTCGGTAGATGGACCATAGGGTTACGAACTACCGTCCTAATTTCGAATCCTTAAAGTTTCACCCCTCATACAGCCCCTAAAAGACCCGAGAGATATCCCTCCAAGACATCTTCTAAAGACTCAGAAAAGAAAGCAGCCTTTGGAGCCCTAAACCCTAAACCCTAAACCCTCAACCCTCAACCCTAAACCCTAAACCCTAAACCCTACCGTTCTTTGCAGGCTGCTTCTCATCGGAGAAGAGCGTTCTGTGTGGCACGCTCACAGAAACCAAAGAGGCCGAACAGCTCGAAACCCACTGTTTGGTTTGACAAAAGGCCTGAACTTAGGGTTTAGGGTTTGGGGTGGTAGTAGAAGCCAGAAAGTTGGAACATTATTATCCCCATGCCCTTAAGGTAAAGTATAAGGGATCCTAGCACCTCTTAAACCCATGTTCCAACTTTCTGGCTTCTACTATAGGGTTTATAACATGGTTCCTCAGGGTTGGTTTATAGGGGTTTGGGGGTTTAGGTTTTGGGGCTTCGGGTTTAGATAGGGTTTAGGGTAATGCAGGGTCTCTGAATGAGCAGGAGCAATTGTGTTGTCCCTGTGTTAGTATAGTAACGTATGCCGTCGCTACATTGTTCCAATTATTCTGGCCCATTTTTTGGTTTGACGGTTTCAGATTTAGGATCTGGCTTGGGCTTAGGGTGTATAGGGTTTAGGGACTTAAGCGTTTAGGGTCTAGGATTTAGGGGTTTCGGGTTTTGCGATTAGGGTTGGGCTTGGCCTTGAGGTATCGGATACGGTATCGGATTGTGGCTGACAGCTTCAGGTTTCGCGTTCCTTCAGGTGTTTTTAGCGGTGCGCCCCAATCTAGATCCTTTGTATAGAACTCCCCCCCCCCCCCCCCCCCC